CATGCATGTGTGCACGTAGAGTCTCTCATTTGCACCCACGCTTGCAAGAAGTGTCCTGGTGCATGCATGTGTGCAAAAATCCCCTGGTGCTTGCAAAGAGCATCCTCCTGGTGCATGTATGCATGCATGCAGAGGCCTCCCCGTTGCACCCCGGGGCGTGCAAACCTTGCAGCATCACAAGCGCAAGGCGGGTGCACAAACCTCACACCCATCGCGCACCCCAGGTGGACGGCGAGCGTTTCACGTTGCCGCTGGCATTGGAGGACCAAAAGCTCCGAATCGGGCAAGAGGGGACCAACCTCGTCCTGCAAACGACCTCAGGCCTCCGCCTGCTCTACAACGCAGCCACGTATCTGCTGGTCACCATCCCCAAAGCTTACCAGGGTCGCGTGTGCGGTTTGGGGGGCAACTTTAACGGAGATCCCGGTGACGATTTCCTGCTCCCCGACGGATCGGCGGCCGAGAGCACGGAGGAATTCGTCTCCTCTTGGAAAACACCTTCGGCCGACGGGGGTTGCAAGGAAGGTTGCGACGGGAAGCCGTGCCCTTCGTGCGACGCCGCTGCCGTTGCTCCGTACGGAAGCGGGGATCAATGCGGCCTCATCCGCCACCCGACGGGGCCTTTTGGGTCGTGCCACCATCGGGTGAACCCGGCTCAGTACTTCCAGCATTGCCTCCATGATGTCTGCGCCGCCGGAGGGGCGAGGGAAGCTCTGTGCCACAGCCTGCAAGCTTACGCTGCTGCTTGCCAAGCTGCCGGCGCTCAGATCGGAGGGTGGAGGACGGCGGCGTTCTGCCGTAAGTGGTGCAAAAGATCCCCCCTCCAAAATGATCCCCCCTGTTTGTCCCCAGGTGAAAACGTTCGGGTTTCATTTTCCCCCTCGATCCCCATTTCCCTGCAGCAAAAAGCATCACCGTTTTTTTAACGTTTGCTGTTTTGGGAGAGGGCAAATGTTGGATATTTGGAGCAAGACGCTGCGTGAATTGTCGGCATCGAATCATGCATCGCTTCTTTTCCCCTCAAATCACCCCCAAAATCCATGAGATTTGCCCCAAATGTTCGCAAGCTCCACCTAAAAGTCCACGAAATGGTACAGAAGGTCTTTCAAGCAGTCCCAAAAATCCATGAGATGGCCCCAAAATGTTTTCAGGCCTTCCCCAAAATCCCTCAGATTACCCAAATATCCCCACACATCCACAAAACAGCCCAGAAATGCTTTCAAGCCTGCCACCAAATCCACAAGATTGACCAGGATTGAACAGGATTGAGAACACCTGAATGTAAGCTGCGTGATTTTGTTTTGGGGGGAGGCCTGACAGCATTTCTGCTCTATTTCATGGGTTTTTCGGGGAATATTCGGCAGCATTTTGGACAGTCGTGTATTTTGGGGAGGATCTGAAAAAGGTTTTGGGTGATCTGATGGATTTTGGAAGCATTGCTGTGAAATCTCGTGGATTTGGGCGGAATATTTGGAAGCATTTTGGTTCCAACTCGAGGATCTGGGGGAAGATTTGAACGCAATTTGTGCGACCCGTGGATTTCAGAGGAGGTTCGCAAGCATTTTGGGTGATCGTTTGGATTTTGGGGGTTTTGGTTAGGGTTAGGGTTAGGGTTAGGGTTAGGGTTAGGGTTAGGGTTAGGGTTAGGGTTAGGGTAGGGTTAGTGTTAGGGTTAGGGTTAGGGTTAGGGTTAGGGTTAGGG